GGGGGGGGGGGTTTAGCGGCTCTACAAGCTCTAAAAGCCAGCTGCTATTTTCGGGCATCTAAACGTTATACTTTAGACCCCAATCTTAGGGATTGACAATCACAATAACTTTGATTGGATTTGAAAATAAATATCCCGATGACCTCGCCGTAGCGGTGGTGGGGGGGGGGGGGGCGGTCTATTGGCTTTCTCCATGTAGACTAAGCAAGTTGATTTATACTGTACATGCTGTAAATAACTGTAAGTAAGAAAAAAATTGTTGGTATTGTATTTGAGCTCTTACCCTGTATTAGATTTTAGCCGTTGGTCTTGATTAGATACACATTAGATCAAGAGAAAGTACCGATTTTGTACTTGCTGCCATGTAGGAAAATCTCTGGACACGCCTAAGCTACAGTTATTGACATTGTTACATTTGACGGAAACGGTTCGACTTAATTTCTTCTTAATCTAAATATAATATAATGAGTCACGATAATACAATTGTCCTGTAAACTATAAATACTACGTTGATTTCTACAGCATTTTTACCGTTTTATGTGAAAAATAACCGGAATAGTGATGTCCCTCTCATGCAAAAGAAATAGTTTGCTATGATCATGTACCTGGTTTAGGTCAATGTACCTGACTATTAAATAAAACCTGCTAGGCATTCGCTAAGGCCCAAGCCTATAGTTTATTAATACAATAAAAATATTCTATTATGTTTAAGTGTAACTGTTAAGTATCTGAAACACTAACTTATGTTTTTAAATGACAATAACGATATGAAGTCATGTTATACTTGTCAGATATAAGTTTAATCACCCATGTAGTGACACTCACCTATGTTAGTGATGGGAGCGATCTACAGGTTTTTCACCGGCAGACGAGGCAAATTGATTTAATTTATTTAATTTATTGACATGCTGCCCATACTGAAAGTAAGGAAATTTTTATCTTGTTTTATACTGCATTGAATTATATTGATTTCTCTTATTTCTGGTTATGGTACACAATTTACCAAAAGAAATTACTATATTCGTACTGTCTGCCGAGTGGGAAATCCCATATCAATTCTTAAATTTTAAGTAATTTTATTCAAATATAATTAATATGGCTTACTATCGTTTCTGTATAAATTGCTATTTTCTACTTTATTTGTACCATTTTATTTGAACAATGAATACCAAAGCAATGAAGTCATTTTCCTACAAAATGATGTTTATTTTTGCTTTTGATCGTGCACCTGGTTTTGGTCTGTGATTAACACCTGACCATTCAAAAAAAAAAATGTCCGTAGAGATATCCTTTATTGGTCTGGTACACGCATGAATTGAATGCAATTTTCAACTCTTCTCTATTTTCGTGCTGTAACGTGGTGTTTGCGTCGTCTGCCCGTGTACAATGAACGCATACGTTGTTACAGGTTATCGAGCTAGTAGCCTGCAACCAAGGTAGGCCTGTCAATTTTTCTTTTTTTAAATGTACCGAAGATACTCTGATATTGTACAGTGACAGTTGGCGACTCACCTCGATAACCGTGAAAATTGTTGAGTTATAATCACATTACCTATTATTATTATTATTATTATTATTATTATTAAGTGTTGTAAAATAGTTACCTTACCTTAAACATCCTTAAACCACTACCAGAATGAT